CATTGATTTGTTATCAGGTTTTTGGGAGAGTTTCGCATTCGCTTCTTCTCGGCTTTCCGACGACCCGAGACGGCCCAAGAGGCCCCCAAGATCGCCCCCACAGCGCCCAAGAGGCCTCCAAGCTGGCCTCAGGACTGCTCAAGAGGCCCCCAAGAGAGGGCACAAAGACGACCCAAAAGGCCTCCAAGACGCCCGAGATGGCCTCTAAGACGGCCCTGGAGCACCCCAAGAGGGCCCCAAGTCGGCCCAGAAAGGACCCCCAAACGGCTTCCGACAGCGTCAGACGGGCCAGGAGCCCACTTAGATAGCCGAAGTTGGCTCGAAGCTGGCCCAAGACGGCCCAAGAGGCCTCCAAGAGGGCCTCCAGAAGGCCCGACAAGGCCAAAAACACTGATGTTCCTGAGGCTTTTTGAAGGATTGTGACATTTGCTTCGTTTCGGCCTTTCGACGGCCCGATACGGCCCAAGAGCCCCCAAAGATCGCCCACGGATCGCCCAAGAGGCCTCCAAGATGGCCCCAAAACGGTCCAGGAGGCTCCCAAGACGGCCCCAAGAGGCCCCTAAGACGGCCAAGGAGGCTTTTAAAACGCCCAAGATGGCCTCCTAGACGGCCCTGGAGCATTCCAAGAGGGCCCCAAGTCGGCTCAGAGAGGCCCCCCAAACGGCTTCCGACGGCGTCGGACGGGCCAGGGGCCCACCAAGACGGCCGAAGATGGCACTAAGATGGCCCAAGACGGCCCACGAGGCCTCCAAGAGGGCCTCCAGGAAGACCCGAAAAGGCCAAAATCATTAAGAGGCTTTGAAGGATTGTGGCATTTGCTGTTTGCTCGGCCTTCCGACGGCCCGAGACGGCCCAAGTGCCCCCCAAAGATCGCCCAAGGATCGCCCAAGACGGCCCCAAGAGGCCCCCAAGACTGCGGAAGAGGCCTCCAAGACGCTCAAGATGGCCTCCAAGACAGCCCAAGAGCCCTCCAAGACGTCCTTCAAGAAGGTCCGAAAGGGTCAAAATGGCCTCCAGGCGGCCAAGATGACCTTCAAGATGCCCAAGGCTTTCCAAACCGATTCGGGGAACACATGGTCCGATAACTTGGCAGGTCTGGCCTCAACGTTCGGCCACATAGGCGCTTCCAAAAAGGCAGGGGGCGGCGGTGATTCGCTGTAGGCGTCTTCGATCCGTCGCCCCCTGTTGGCTTGCCACAGGGGTGCCCGGCGTGCTAGATTATTTCGGTTTTGGTTTTGGTTCTTTTCCAAAAGAACTCACCCTGGGGCTTCGGCCCGTCCCGCCGGGGTCCCGGGAAGGATCTCAAAACGCGTCCGTCGATGCCTCTGTTGCCCCAGGATTGCCTCCAAGTTCGCCCAAGATGGCCTCCAAGTCCGCCCAAGATGGTCCAAGACGGCCTCAGAGAGTCCAAGACGGCCCAAGAGGCCCCCCAGAGGCCTCCGCCTCCAAGACGGCCCAAGAGGCCTCCAAGAGGTCCTCCAGGAGGGCCCGAAGAGGCCAAACTCATTGATTTTTCTAAGGTTTTTGGAAGAGATTCGCATTCGCTTCTTCTCGGCTTGCCGACGACCCAAGACGGCCCAAGAGGCCCCCAAGATCGCCCCCACAGCGCCCAAGAGGCCCCCAAGATGGCCTCAGGACTGCCCAAGAGGCCCCCAAGACGGCCCCAAGAGGGCACAAAGACGACCCAAGAGGCCTCCAAGACGCCCAAGATGGCCTCGAAGACGGCCCTGGAGCACCCCAAGAGGGCCCCAAGTCGGCCCAGAAAGGCCCCCCAAACGGCTTCCGACAGCGTCATACGGGCCAGGAACACTTATGTTTCTTAGGTGTTCGAAGGATTTTGGCATTTGCTTTTTTGTCGGCCTTCCGACGGCCCGAGACGGCCCAAGAGCCACCAAAGATCGCCCAAGAGGCCTCCAAGATGGCCGCAGATGGGCCCAAGAGGCCCCCAAGACGGCCCCAAGACGGCCCAAGAGGCCCCCAAGACGCCTAAACCAGTTTTCAAGACGGCCCTAGAGCATTCCAAGAGGGCCCCAAGTGGGCTCAGAGAGGCCACCCAAACGGCTCCCGACGGCGTCGGACGGACTAGGGGCCCACCAAGACGGCCGAAGATGGCACTAAAATGGCCCAAGACGGCCCAAGAGGCCTCCAAGTGGGCCTCCAGGAAGGCCCGAAAAGACCCAAATCATTGATTTCCAAAGAGGTTTTGAAGGATTGTGGTTTTTGCTGTTTGCTCGGCCTTCCGACGGCCCGAGACGGCCCAAGTGCCCCCAGAGATCGTCCAAGAGGCCCAAGACGGCCCCAAGAGGCCCCCAAGACGGACGAAGAGGCCTCCAAGACGCTCAAGATGGCCTCCAAGACTGCCCAAGAGCCCTCCAAGACGTCCTCCAAGAAGGCCCGAAAGGGTCAAAATGGCCTCCAGGCGGCCAAGATGACCTTCAAGATGCCCACGTGTTCCCCGAAGGCTTTCCAAACAAATTCGGGGAACACATGGTCCAATAGCTTGGCAGGTCTGGCCTCAACGTTCGGCCACATAGGCGCTTCCAAAAAGGCAGGGGGCGGCGGTGATTCGCCGTAGGCGTCTTCGATCCGCCGCCCCCTGTCGATCATCGCAGAGGTGCCTGGCGTACTAGACGAGTTCGGTTTTGGCTTTGGTTCTTTTCCGAAAGAACTCCCCCTGGGGCTTCGGCCCGTCACGCCAAGGTCCGGGGACGATCTTCAAGGAGCTCAATTCCCGGAACAATCCTCCAAGACGGCCCGAGATGGCCTCCAAGATGGTACCAGATGGCCTCCAAGTCCGCCGAAAATGGTTCAAGACGGCCTCCAAGATAACCCCATGTTCGCCCAAGAAGCCCAAGTTCGCCCAAGAGAGTCCAAGATAATCCCAAGTTCGCCCAAGAAGTCTCCAAGACGCCTCCAAGACGGCCCAAGAGGCCTCCAAGAGGTCCCCCAGGAGGGCCCGAAGAGCATTGATTTTCCTTAGGTGTTTGAAGGATTTGGGAATTTGCATCTTCTCGGCATTCCGACGGATCAAGACGGCCCAAGATCGCCCCAAGATCGCCCGAGAGGCCTCCAAGACCTTGACGGCCCAAGAGGCCCCCAAGACGGCCCCCAGAGGGCCCCAAGAGGTCTCCAAGACACCTCCAAGACGCCCAAGATGGCCTCCAAAACGGCCCCGAAGCGCCCAAGAGGGCCCCAAGTCAAATCAGAGAGGCCCCCAAGACGGCTCCCGACGGCGTCAGACGGTCCAGGAGTCCACCAAGATGGCCGAAGTTGGCTCGAAGCTGGCCCAAGACGGCCCAAGAGGCCTCCATGAGGGCCTCCAGGAAGGCCCGACAAGGCCAAAGATACTGATGTCCCTAAGGCTTTTCAAGGACTTTGACATTTGCTTCTTTTCGGCCTTGCGACGGCCCGAGACGGCCCAAGAGCCCCCTGGAGCATTCCAAGAGGGCCCCAAGTCGGCCCCAAGAGGCCCCCCAAACGGCTTCCGACGGCGTCAGACGGGCCAGGAACCCACCAAGACGGCCGAAGCTGGCCCAAGACGGCCCAAGAAGCCTCCAAGAGGGCCTCCAGGAAGGCCCGAAAAGGCCAAAATTATTGATGTCCCATGAGTTTTTGAAAGATTGTGGCATTTGCTTTTTGCTCGGCCTTCCGACGGCCCGAGACGGCCCAAGTGCCCCTAAATTGTCCAAGAGGCCCAAGACGGCCCCAAGAGGCCCCCAAGACGGTCCAGGAGGCCTCCAAGACGCTCAAGATGGCCTCCAAGACTGCCCAAGAGCCCTCCAAGACGTCCTCCAAGAAGGCCCGAAAGGGTCAAAATGGCCTCCAGGCGGCCAAGATGACCTTCAAGATGCCCACGTGTTCCCCGAAGGCTTTCCAAACAGATTCGGGGAACACATGGTCCAATAGCTTGGCAGGTCTGGCCTCAACGTTCGGCCACATAAGCGCTTCCACAAAGGCAGGGGGCGGCGGTGATTCGCCGTAGGCGTCTTCGATCCGCCGCCCCCTGTCGATTCATCACAAGGGTGCCCGGCGTGCTGAACCCTTTCGCTGTTGGTTTTGGTTCTTCTTCCAAAAGAACTCCCCCTGGGCTTTTCGCCTCCAGATGGCTCCAAGATGGCCCAAGCTGGCCTCCAAGATGCCTCCAAGATGGCCTCCAAGACGGCCTGAGAGGGTCCAAGATACTTCCAGATACGCCCAAGAAGCCTCCAAGACGGCCCAAGACTGCCCAAGATGGCCTCCAAGACGGCCCTGGAGCACCCCAAGGGGGCCCCGAGTCGGCCCAGAGTGGCCCCCAAGACGGTTTCCGACGGCGTCAGACGGGCTAAGAGCCCACCAATCTGGCCAAAGAGGCCCCCGAGAAGCCCCCGAAGGCCCCCAAGAGGCCTCCAAGAGGGCACCCAGGACACCTCAAAGAGGTTCCCAGGAAGCTCCCAGGAGGCTCCAAGAGTGTCCCCAGAGGCTCCCAAAATGCCCCCGTAGTTCTCCTCCTCCTCCTCCTCCTCCTCCTCAATCTCCTCCTCCGCCTCCTCCTGATCTTCCCCGCCATCCTCCCCCACGTGTTTCCCCGAAGGGTTTCCACAACGGCTGGGGAAAGACATGGTCCGATAGCTTGGAAGAGCTCTTGCCACAACGCTCGGCCACATGGGCGATTCTAGAAGGCAGGGGGCGGCGGTGATTCGCCGTAGGCGTCTTCGATAACGCCAACTTTTCAATATGCGCTGATGACTCCTATCCGCCCCCGCATGCTGTTCCCAGATACGCCAAGGCAGCGCCGAGACGCACCGACGCGACTCTGTGATACCCCATGGTGATAGAGAGGGTGCCAAGCCCTTACGGATACGTGTATATGTATATGTATATGTATATGTATATGTATATGTGTATGTAAATATATCATATATATATATATCTCTATATATATATGTGTGTGTGTGTGTGTGGAAAACCTGCCACGCAGACGAATCATAATCCGAGGCCATCACATAATAAACCAAGAGCATAAACACCATGACTGAAAGATCAAACGACTTCAGGAAGAGGAAGGCAAGAGGCAAGGTCAATAGTTAGAAAAATATTGAAGCAATCACAAAAAAGTGGTGGTACACAAGCACGGTTCGGTCAACCTTACCCCCCCCTGGGGGTCCTGACCGGCGCGGACCTCGTGCCATCGGCCGCGCTGGGTCTGGGTTGCAGGAAGTCATAGCTGATCGACTGGGAGAGCGACTTGGCGAGCTGCTTGCCTTGCCAGATGCTGGGAGAGCGACAAGAAAGGGTGACATAGAGGAGGAGGAGGAGGAGGAGGAGGAGGAGGAGGAGGAGGAGGAGGAGGAGGAGGAGAAGACGAAGGAGAAGACGAAGGAGAAGGAGCGAGGAGGAGTGAGGAGGAGCGAGGAGCGAGGAGAAGAGGAGGAGCGACGAGGAGGAAGGAGCAGGAGGAGTCGGGGGGATGAGGAGCAAGAGGAATAGGACTTTCTACATGACGATTCGGCTGCTGTAGGAAGGCGTCATACGTTCTCAAGGGTTTCAATCGTGTTCCGGTGCGTCCTGGGGTCCTGGAAAGGAGGCAGGGGGAGGACAAAGGGAGGATCACAAAGAGAGAGAGAGAGAGAGAAAGAGAGAGAGAGAGAGGCAGAACGAAAAGGAAGAACAAGGACTTAGTAAACCCAAAATGCATTAACGATCCTCCAAAACTTCGTCCCGTCCCAAGTAGCGTCCTCAGAAGTCGCGGCCAACGCCCCCTATTACCACACGAAGCGCCCTCGTTGGTTGACGAGCGCCCCATGGGCATGCCATTCTGGTGGCAGTCCCTGTTTTGAGAAGGTACTGTCCTGCACCATCTTAGCTATAAGTTTTCAAGCAGACGAGGGGTACGGCCATTAAGTCGAAGGGAGTGTCCAGCGAGAGCACCGTTTTCAAAAAGAGCCATCATCCATGTGCTCAACTGCTGTACGCAATGGAGCGTATGCTCACAAGCAACTGGGGAAGCTCAAACACCAGCCCACGTTGAAAATGGACCGCCAGGTATCCAGATGCGGCCTGAATGTTGTATCTGCATGCGCACTTGCCCCAGGTCAAAGAAAGTAAGGATATATCAAGCCAGAGCACCATGCAATCCCCAAAAACACTCTTCACTCATGAAACTGTTGAAGCTTTGGACACGACTGGGCAATGCGCCAAAGCGAGAGCCACACATTGAAAATGGGCAGCCTTCCATGCTGGTACGTTTTGGACGTGTTTAAGACAGATGTGCGCGGTACCAGGGCGAGAGTCAAATCCCACCAGCCCTTTGGGCGAAGGTGGCCTAACGAGTTCTTCCTCTCCACTTTCCAAGCCATCTTCCCTTCGGGGAGGGGTACCCTCTCCCTCCCCTCCCTGGGCGTTTTGTTGGACGAGCCGCGAGGTGGCAGCGGGTCCTTTCGTGCCATACATGGCTCGAAGAAGGCATCCGATGCTCACAGATGGTCTCCAGGGCTGCTCAACATGGCCGAAATTAGTTCAAGATAGCTTCCGACATACCCCTGAGAGGCCCGACGAGGGCCACAAGACGGTTCCAAGTCCTGTCGGACCTCCCCCCTAGAACCTTCCCAAGAGGCCAACATGATTCAAACACCGAAGGGGAACCTCTGACGTTTGCTTTATCGCCGTGTCGCTTCCGATGCGCATTCGGGGCCTCAAGGTGGCCCCAAGATGGCCCAAGAGAGACCCAAGAGGGGCCCGAGAGGTACCAAAAACGGCGCCAAGAGCGCCTAAGATCGGCTTAGGAAGCGCAGAAGATCGGCTTAGGAGCGCCCGAAGAGGCGATGCTAAGGACCCACGAGGGCGGGGGGGGGGCAACGTTATGACCCCCTTTTGTTTCACCGACGCTTTTCACGATAGCCCCAAGAGGCCCTCCAGGACTCCCAAGAGGGCCCCAAGAAAGCCCCGAGATGGCCCCAGGACGGCCCCAAGAACGCCCAAGAGCGGCCCACGAGGGCCTCAAGAGGCGGTGTGCCTCCTCCTCCTCCTCCTCCTCCTCCTCCTCCTCCTCCTCCTCCTCCTCCTCCTCCTCCTGTCCCCATTATCCATGGATCCGCCGAGCTCTGTTTCACTCTATGCACCTCCTCATCCCTCTCCCCTGCGGCTCTCATGGGCAGGATGTTTGAACGGGCTGGTGGGGATACTTTTTAGTCAACGGCCGCGGGCGGAAGCGCCGGCGGCGTGTCAAGTCGAAGCGAGGCGCGCCACAGACGAATTAACAGCAGAACTGGGGCACAGTACTGCCAGAGGGCGCACGCAAGAGGCCGAGGCGGATAAGGCAATATAAACGCGGGAAAAATCAAACAGAGCGACGGGCGAGGCGACAACTAAGCGCGGCCGAGGCCTCAGGGGGGGCTGCCGGGACTGAGCTGAGGGGAACTGCCGTGTGCACAGCAGCAAGTCGGTCGGAGGCGTCACGCGTCGGAGAGTCAACGACGGCCAGGGACAGCACCGAGAGAGAAAATGCGATACCGAAACTCAGACGTCGGCGAGGGCACCAGGGTGGCCAAGGCCAACGAGACGTCGGTCGAAGTCGTGAAGAGAACTGCAAAGGCGAGGCCCCGGACGGCGCGAAGCGCGAAGACCAGGTCGGTCCAAAGGGCCGTCGACCACCGAATTGCTGCTAGAGGCGAAGCGTTGGCAGGCAGGGCTGGTGGGGATACACGAAGCGTGAAGAATTCTGAAAACCAAGCGCCCTGTGATCTTGTAACTGTTGAAAGCGTTGTGCGGCGCTGTGGCGAGAGCCACATTTTTAAAGCCAGCCGCCCTCCATCAATGTAGCGTCGGGGACCCTGTAAACCAAACGTGCGCAGCGCCAATGTAAAAATCAGAGCTTGAAAGTGTGACTTTACATCCTTGTAAATGCTGGAAGTTTAAGCTCGCGACCAGGAATGACTCACAAGCAATGGAGATGGAAGAGGAGGGGGAGGAGGAGGAGGAGGAGGGAAGGAGCAGAAGGAGGAGGATGAGAAGGAGGACGAGGAGGAAGAAGAGGAAGAGGGAGGAGGATGACGATAGATGAGGAGTGGACGAGGAAGCAGTGGATGGAGGGGGGGGAGAGGGTAGGGAGGGAAGGGCTGAGGACTGGGATGGTGAGGGAAAAGACGGAGGATCAGCGGCAGCAAGCGAGCTTAAGACGAGGAGATGACAACCTCCCAAGTGTTGGCATCACTCCTCCTGCTGCAGCCCCACTGCTGTTTGCTGCCCAGATGTGCTCCGCTGCGCGAGGTCCCTCTGCGAGCGCTGGGTGTCAAAGACGAAATGCGTGGACCCGCGCGTTGCATCTAGAGCCCCGGATGCCTGAATGGGAGTCAAATGCAGGTCGACTTCCTGGTGCCCGGTAGCACATACAGCATGGCGAAACAACGAGCGAGCGAGTCGCACGCAGCATGCGCCAAGACACGCAGGGTACTCAAAAGAGACCGAAGCACGACGGCAACGACCTCCCCGCCGCTCCTCCAGACCGTCCTGCGAAAATGTGTCACCTCTTCTCTGTCCAGCCAACCGGGATGTTGTGCACGCGCCGATTTGGGCAGTCAACAGCGCCGCCTCCGAAAACCTTTGCCTCGGGCCGCCCCCGAGTCGGGCGTGCATTTCGTTTCTTGGACTGGGCTGCGTTCTTCTGACGCTTTGCCTTGGAGGCGGCCAGGGGGCCCGAGCTGGTTCGGACCCCAGAAACTCGGCCAGGGGGGGGGATGAAACCAGATCCCTTCACGATCGCTCCCCAGACCCCTCCCGGGGGGTCCACCAGCCGCAATGTGTCGCCCTCCCTCCGTCTCCGACGGCCCCGGGGCCCGAAGAAAGCACCCAGAGGCCGAAAAAGGGGGGGGGGACAAAAAAACACACACAAAAAAAAAACTCTCGAGCCCAGCTCCTCGAGGCGCCCCCCCCCCCCCCCCCCGGGGCCCGAAGAAAGCACCCAGAGGCCGAAACAGGGGGGGGACAAAAAAAGAACTCTCGAGCCCAGCTCCTCGAGGCGGGCCCCCCCCCCCTCGTGCTGCTGCCGCAGCTGCCTGCCAGACGGCGGTGCCGGACCACGACCGCCTCAGGCCCCCCAGCGGGCTCCAGGCTCTGCCAGCCCTCGGCCCCCCCTGCTCCCGAGCCGGCTGCCGAGCCCGCGGGCGGGCCCGGAGGGGAGGCAGGCGGCGCGTGGCCGCGGCGCCGGCAGGGGCACCCGCAGGTGTCCGCCGACGCCACCTGCCTCGGGCGCCGCGCCGCGCGGGACGCCTCGCTGACCCTCCCCCCCCAAGGGGTCCGACATCCCCACGCCGCGGGCGCCACGCCGCGCGGGACGCCTCGCTGACGCCACGTCCCAAGGGGTCCGACGTCCCAACGTCCAACAGCGCCACCGGAGCACGTACTTCTGTGCAGCAGCAGCGTGGCGGCACACCAGCGGCGCTGCTTCGAGACGGGGCGATAATTACATGGGGGGGGGAGACGTGCGCCCGTGGTGCAGTTTTTGGGGCCCGAGGGGCCCCCCCAGGGCGCAAAAGTTGAACCTTTTCCTCGCCCCCACACTTGTTTTTTAGTGTTTTTTTTGTTTTTTGTTTTTGTTGTGTGTATCGCCCCCCACACTTATCGCCCCTCACATTACGCAACGCCCGAAGAAAACGCTAAGTAACAACAGCCAGGACGCGGCAGAGCTAATGCGCGCCGGTATGCGCGGAGGAGCAGAAGGGCGGCCGCCGAAGATGACAAAAAAGGGACCGCGCCCATAGCGCGCCGCGTTTCATGCAGCGCAGCCAGCACAATCAAGAGGACACCCTCGAGGACGCAGGGACTTGGCGCTGGGGAGTAGAGGATTGAGTGTTTGCGCAAATGCTGACCTCACTCGAAAACTCACCGGTCTTAAAGCCGAGACGGTGGTCTCGACGGCTGGGACAACCGATGGGTTTGACTTTTGATCTGGCGGAGCGGAGACTCCTCCTCCTCCTCCTCCTCCTCCACGCCCTCTTCCTCCCCTCCTCCTCCGCCTCCTCCTCCTCCTCACTCTCCTCCCCCTCCTTCTCCTCCTCCTCCTCCTCCACTTCCTCCTCCTCCTCCTCCTCCTCCGCCTCCGCCGCCAGATGAGTGGAATGCTGACCTGGAGTGGCTCACGACCCCCCGGTGCGAGCCTGGACACGCCGAGGCTGGGGGGCTGAACTGGCCATGGTAGGTGCTGATCGTATCGCCCACGTGACGTGGGCAGAACATATTATGTTGCCGTGTAACTCCGCCGCTGAGTTCAGCGCGATGGCGCAGGAGTTGACCGCGGTACTCTACGACGCAGGGCTGAAGTGGAATAGCTAAGTTGCTGACTTGCCCAGACAGTCCTGCGGCTCCGAATCGTTCCAGATAGTCTTGCTGGGTGGGGGGGAATTCAAGATTATGAAGAAAGACCGCATCGTGCTCCTCGGCATCAGCTTGGACCGTACAGGCAGCACACTGACAAGTGTAAACCACAGACCGGCGTGCGCCGAACAAGCAGCTATGTGGGCCCCAGGCCAATCCAAGCCAAACTCGGAGCATGACAAGCTGTAGTTCTATATTCGGCGCTGTATGGTCGCGAAACGTGGCACTGATCTTTACATAGTAGGCTGAGGATATGAGAACTCAAATTCCTTCGCCGCCTAAGCCTGGCGCTGGGCCCCTGGGATCACTGAAGCCACGGGTGCAATATAAAAAAACGGACTGCACCAAGCAAATACTATTTGTTTGCTACAGGTAGCCGTGCGATGCCGTTCCAAAGGTGCGTGAAAGCAGTGCACAAGGCAGCTCGGGACGAGACCGCCGTGGTCCTTGCGAACGGCGCTAACCCCTTGTCTGCAGCCCGTCGCGGAGTGAGCAGAGAGTGGTGGGAGTGCGCGAGGACACTGCCAGCCTACAAACGTAAGAACGAGGATGTTGTGTTACACGGCGGGGCCCTGGAACCCAGTCTGCGTGGACACGCAAGCCTGGCGAGATGATACGGATATTGTCAAGAAGGCGATCCGCACTTCCAGCAGCACCCTTGTGGAAATTCCTGGACTGCACCGGCACCCGCAGGGCCATGAATGGCAAAGGATGGAGTTCGCTTTCGCTTGAGGGTTGACTCGCTTGGTGGTTGACTGTCAGGTCTTGGCAAGCTTCGTCAACGGCACCACGCCTCTGCTCGACGAATCGTACCGGCCTCCATCGCGACGCATGGCATATTCGTTGGACCTGCTCCTGTAGCGCGGCATACGTCTGCCACGAGACTGGGACGATCCAGTTTGTTGGCAGGATCGCTCGTGGAATCGACAAGCGGATTGGGTTGCAAATCGCACGATGGACGCCCAACAGGAGGTCCACTGGGTGGACCCAGATCTCGCCTACATTGCAGCGAGGGTTGGTGACACCAGGCTGGTGTCTTTCAAGGCCTGCCCACTCCAGAATGTCCATAGTGCATTCCTGACAGAAGTCATTGGGCTCGAAATGGCTATAGATTTGTTGATGCAATTCTCGATCGGTACATTCGAAAAGTAGTGATAGGTTCTACCAATTGAAATCTGATTCAGTGTCATCGTTTCTTCTTGCGTTGTCAGGGCTTGTCACATGGCATTAAGCCTTTGCCACACGAAAGACCCAAGAGGCCGAAACCATTGATTTTCTGCTGGCATTGAAACATTTTCGCATTTTGGCCTTCTCGGGCTCTTGACGCAAGACTGCCCGAAAGGCCCCCAAGAAGATCGCCTCAAGACGGCCCAGGAGGCCCCAAGAGAGCCCCAAGACGGGGAAAACGAATCGCCATGTCTAGACCTCCGCCCCAAGATGACCACCGAGACACCCAGCAGGCCCCAGAAGCCCAAGAAGGCCCCCAAGAGATCAGGAAAAGGCCCACGAGAGGCCCCAGAGAGGCTTCGGGAGAGATCCCCATAGGCATCCACGAGGCCTCTGACCTACAACCCAGGCACCGCGGCGGGATGCGCCGAAGGCCTTTAAGTAAACAGGAATGGCGTCAGCATTGGCTGCCTGGGATTCTTTTGAGCCCTACTGGGACTCCCCTGTCGAGCTGCATCGGCGGCCTCCGAAGGCCGCCAAGGCGCCCCTCAAATCATTCCCATACCCCCCCGCATCCAAGAACCTCAGAAAATCGTCGGAGAACTACCGAAACTTCAGAAACTCGCCGAAAACATCCGGACCCCGGCCCCCCGAAACACCCCCGACGAGAATCGCCTCCTCCCTTCCTCCAGGACCTTACGGGCGCGAGGACCAGCAAGCCCGAGGACGACGACGGCGGGGGCGCCGACGACGACGGCCACGACGAGGAAGAGAAGGACGAGGATGACGACAGCGGCGACGACACAGCGAGGACTTCGGACGGCGAAGACGGCGACAACGACGGCAAGGACGACGGTGAGGACGACGACGACGACGCCACCGCCGCCGCCGCCCAGGTCGAGCGGAGGGGCACGCGGCTGGGCGCCTGCCACGCTCACGGGGCCATGAGGCCAGCTCGCCGTGCCGCGGGCGCTGTGGCCGCTCGC